AGCAGCACTCAGGATCCCTTAGCAACAGGAGGAAGGCAGGAAGACCAGGACAAGGAGAGGATGTCCCAAAGAGATACTCAACGACCTTTCGTTTTAAAAGAACATCTGGTTTCTGGTGAAAGCAAAGGATGAGAGAGACAACGGATAAAATGTTTCATCGTTAGAGATGTGATATGTGGACAAGTAAGATACAAATAAAAGTTAAAAATGCAATCTAAACGTGACACGGGGGAACCCAACAAATACGTTCAAAATCCTCGCCCAAGGTTTCAGCTGGGCATTCGTAGAGCCAAACCAACTGGAATCGGGTGGATTTCGATACTCCTGGAGAGTGAAGTAGTCAGAGGTAGAATTTAAACCAGGAAAGAATGTCCCAGGATGCTGGCTTTTTGAAGGCACTCAGGAACTGAGAGAGCATCAGATAAGAGACGTGTGTATTCATGCATCTGCCATATAGAAAGAATTCCAGAAACGCTGCAACAATACATGTATCACCGGGGAACACACAGGGTAACAAGGTAGAAATCCACTTGGTAAGTAGTTCCTTAAAATAGTATAGTGTCTACTTAGGGAATAAGAAAGGAAAGTTTGCTTCCTGAATAGGCAACTCTGCAAAGTAGTTTGGACTTCAGTGAAGAATTTGATAAAAGGTACATCATCTAGTTCTTGACTCAAATGTACTGAACCTCAAGCTTCCAAGTTGGGGCAACCAAGGAGTCTGATTTTCTTTTGAATCTTGCAAAACCTATCCTCTAAGACAAAAAGGTCTCATCGTAAAGTCTATAAAAAGTCTCGGGTGTATAAAAGTACAGAAGTAGGAAAGTGGCGATACTGATGGCGACTCATGGCTTCCATAGAAAGTGTAGGAGGATCTCTGGTTTGCTTGATCGAGGTAGTGTCCAGGCTTGGAAGGCCATTGGTACCTAGGATGAATGCTACCGCTGACAGAAGCAGGGTAGGTAGGCGCTGTTATTGCATAATAATGCCACTATCTCTAATGGCCAATGACCCCTCATTCCTAAAAAAAAAAATAAAAATGACCTTTTGGGAAATTTCTAATCTTGGCTTAGGCAAAGGAAAATGAAAACCCAATATTTTCTTGCTCAATTTTACAGTCTGAAGAGTTCCAAGGGAGTTTATTTTTTTAATGGTACATAGCTGATAAAATTCTCCAATGTAACCTAACCCTTTTCATTAAATACTTCCCATATAGTCTAGAAGAGCATCCAAACGTTCATCATGTGGACCAACAATGGAATAATAAAAGCTGTCTCTTCTATACAGTAGCTCAAGCAGAAAGGTTTCTCCAACTTTAGTTTTCTTTTCTTTTCTTTTCTTTCTTTTTTTCTTACAAAACCCCACCACCACCTGCGTTTCACTCACGAAAATCGGCAAGATGGGGTAACTGTACATACATCTACAGTGTTTATATTTCTGCTTGATCTCAACATTTAAAACTGCCAGTGAAATAAAAGTCAAAACTAACCACATATATCCACTCACCAAACATAAAAACTGAAAAACGTCCAAGAAGTAGAACATTCAAAGCTCACAAGCATCTCTTCAGAGTCGTTTGCCTCCAGCGAGCACACTAAGGACAATCAAATGGTAAGGAACGCCTAACCGCAGCGAAGAGGTGGTTCCAGCACACGTAGCTTTAAGAGGATGGTAATGCCCGTGCTCCGTCATCAATAGAGAGCAGCTGGTGGAAGTGGTAGACTAGAAAAGCATATGTAACCAGAAAGTTTTAAGTGGTGACCTCCCTGCTCGCTACAAATAAAAATCAAATCACAAATACATGTGGAAATGAAGCCACATAACTTTCAACTGTTCATCTTAAATCCTCCATTCAAACTAAAAAAATGTAACTTGGCATGAGCAGACCTGACTTCATATGAGAAAGCAGCAAGCAGCCTTTCCATAAGGCGAAGAAAGCTTATATTTGAATGATAAATCCATGAGGAAAGAATAGAAAATGGGAAAGAAAAAAAACAAACAAAAACAGTGTCAATTCAAGAAAGTTCTTGGGACTTTTCCTCAAGTAAGTCTTGACCCTAGCAATGGTACAAGGCTTTCAGGACAATAAAATTAACTAAGCACTGAAAAACAGCCTCCATTTGGTATCTGTGTAATGCTGAGATGTGGCCGCTGTCACCTTTAAGAAACGGATTTCGGTACAGAGAACGGCTGGGAACTCAAACTCCTCCACAGTTTTTCCCCCCATAAACAGAGAGCGAGGAGGAGTAAGTTTTTTAACAAGCTCAGGTGCTGGACTGCGTGTAGGGAGCACACGCCACGTGCTGCAGCTTTTATCCGGTGAAGGACCCAGTCACGCCACCAGCCCTGAGTCTGAGTCTCCAGCGCGTCCAACCCGATGTGCATGTATGTTTAAGGCTCAGTCCTGCAGCTCTCCTATTCAGAAGCTTTCAAGTTGTGACTATTCTTAATGCGTTTCATGACTCATGTAATATGCCACTGATGAAGAATCGTTATACTTTGGGCCATTTTCCTGATATTCCTGATGTATTGTGTGAGGGTGCCGATTTTAAAAATTTGCTTCTGTTAAGGGTTGTGGTGATTATTTGCTTAACACCGGCTTTCCTATGTAGCAGACACTTTCTTATGGCTATATTCACTCGAATAGAGAAATCAAAGACCACTACCTGAATTTTCCAGTGTATAGTTAGAGTACACCTCTGACACTTCAATGGTCTCAAGTATGGAGTTCAGAGTTGCTGCCCTTTGCCATATGTTTATTTAGAACAAAATAAGGTGTAGCTAATGAACCAAGCTGCAGCTTTACGTCTTCAGTAAGGAGTGATTTGAGCATCACGGGCTTGGCGTGAGATAACGGTCTCAGGAAGGTGCGGACCCACAGCTTCCCCAGGGTCCCCGGAGGCTGAGGGAGTGACAGGGGGCGGCCACCGAGGACGGAACAGTCAAGCTGGGAGTTAACTGTCCTTCTCCGGTGTTCACGGGACGCACACACATCTTTAAAGTAGCATTCTTTAGAAATTAGATCCAAAAGTGTGTTTTGAGATACTTTTCTGCCTCGTTCCAAAATTCGTCTATGCTCGTTATAGAAGACGAAGGCAACCACCACAATGGGAAAAATGTCGACAGATGAAACCAAAAAGCGAGTGGAGAATGCAGTATTTTTAAAACAGGGACTCAACTTCAATGGAAAAAATACAACCTTCCCCTCTCAGACCTCATCAGCCAGAAAGGTGCTTAAAGTATGTCTGCCGATTTACTACTGAGAATAAATAAAAGCCGGGTTCCGACTCGGGCAGTGATTCACCAGCCGGAGGAAAAGAAAAACGAAGACGTTTCAAGATGAACAAAACCCAGAGCACTCCCTCCGGCAGCACCCGGACTGAACCTGGCCCGAGAGCATCCGCTGCCTCCGCGCACAGACCACACACACACTCAGGAAGCGCTCTGTGTTTTTAGATAAACAGACACATTTTTTAAAATAAAAAGAGGGAGAGAGAGAGAGAAAGGCAGGAGACCCAGCTTTGGAACTCAGTTCTCAGAGGTGAAAAGGGACAGAAGTTTAGCTGCGTTCAACCTGGAGAATGGGATCCGTTAAGTCCACTGATAGCCCTTGTGTGCAGCCTCGCCTGAGGCGAGCTGCTGTTGGTTGTGCTCTTGCAAAGCTCTCCGACTGAGAAAAGCAGCTGCCTCCCCTCACCCGCACGCGGCCTCACAGGCTGCAGCGCACCTTCGGGGACAGGCCCCGGTGGTCTGTGCAGGACAGAGACCGGGCAAACCCAGCGCTGTGTCCACCCGCGTTCCTCGGCCCCTGCACCGCCATGCCGTGATGTTGGTGTGCTGTCCTGTCTTTTCCTAACGATTCCAGAAAAAGAAACGACCTCAAAATGAGAAATGCACCTCAAGCCTTCGTGCCGTCATTCCCCGGAGGCTGAACAAGAAGGTTCCACGGGAAGTGAGAAGCCGGCGTGCCTGGGAGGAGACCACCCACCGCCGCCTCCTCCGGGCCGCGAGCAGCTTCCTCGGCTTTCAGAACAGGCCACTCCGGTGACTTCCCGTCCATTAACGCACCAGCAGAACCGCATGGAGCAGGAGGGCAGAGCATGGCGGGGGCCCGGAGACACAGCGTGAGGCAGAGGCTGGAAACTGCCCAGGTCTGACCCACGCTCCGAAAGCCAAGCCTCATTCCCGCAGGGACGTGGCCTGGAGGCCCTGGGACACAGCTGGTCTCTGAAGCACCTTTCAGTTGTACGGATGTGAGGATAGTAACTTTGAGCTCTAGAAGTTATATGCATCTTTAAGAATCACATTTTGATGATTATAAATTTTTTTTTCTATTTTACAACATAGGTCCAGCGACACTGAAAAAATTACACCGCTTATTGAAATACATTTCATTTTAGAAACAGACTACTAAAGAAGTCTATACAAAAACTCTAAAATAATTTCTGTAGTAAAATAAAGTGTTAGGAGAGCTACACGAAGGAGAAAATTCCCATCTCTCTCTATAATGCTCGATATGCTGTGAAAACGTGGCCAGCTCCTCTGCAGCCAGCACCGAAAGCTGAAAAGAATTCATTACGATACACAGTGATACAATTAATGCTCTGGATTAATCTCACAGTCTTCCCGATTAGGACAAAGGACACCAGGCCTGGCCCCTCTTTGAGGAGAAGTCCGGATATAAAAGCAAGCATACCTCATCAGCTGATATGAAATTATAAAATTCCACAGTCTGAGTGTTTGGATTTATAAAAGTCACCAGAAAATGCAAGCACGTCGGGCTTTAGTTTGGTGGTTCCCCTGGTTTGGACGACGGTCCCTCCGTGACTCCAGGTGTCCGTGTTCATGCCCTTGATGTGCGGGTTCACCCTGCTCCCCAGCTCCGTGTGGGCACACAGCGCGGAGCGCATCCCGGAGACGGAGCGCACCCTGGAGACGGAGCGCACCCCGGAGATGAACACCCAGGAGACGGAGCGCACCCCAGAGACGGAGCGCACCCCGGAGATGGACACCCCGGAGACGGAGCGCACCCCGGAGATGAACACCCCGGAGGCGGAGCGCACCCCGGAGACAAACAGCCGGAGGCGGTTAGTGGTGCGGGGCCGCGCCGTTCTTGTCGGCCAGGTGCCGCAGGAAGGTGTCCTCGCCCTGGCCCGGGCCGCGGTGGTTCAGGGGCTCGCTCTTGAAGAGCGCGGGGGGCGGGGGCAGGTGCGGGACGGGCGGGATGGGCAGGTGGTGCGGGTGGTGGGGGTGCGGGTGCAGGTGCAGGTGGGAGAAGGGGTGCGGGACGGGCCGCGGGGGCAGCGTGCCGGCGGGGTTCATGGTGAGGGCGGGGGCCGGGGCGGCGGGCGAGGTCACCGCGGAGGGCGCGGGGGCGGCAGGGGCGGCCGGCAGGGGCACCTGCGCCGGCGGCACGGTCACGGGGCTGGTGACCCGGAAGCACTTCTCCTTGTGCGCCTTGAGCATGTTGGAGAAGCGGAAGCGCTGGCCGCACACGTCGCACGGGTAGGGCTTCTCGCCGGTGTGAGTCCTGCGGTGCCGCTTCATGTTGGGGCGGCTGGTGAAGCTCTTGCCACAGATTTCACAGATGAAGGGCTTCTCTCCTGAGGTGCAGACACAGAGCACGGTTAGCTCCTCGGCGGTGACTGCTCGCTGTTCCTCAGACCAGGAAAGGAGATCACCACTCCTCTCCCAGAGGCATATTCTATTCTAACAGGACCCGGGCCTCCCCGAGTGGGGACTTCTCAGGAAGAGCAGCACTGCACCTCTGCGACGGCCCCCATCACGCCGGCCTCTGGCACATCTGAAGGGCATGCAGCAATCCTGCTGCCAGCCTGCTAAGTGACCCGGATTTTATAATAAAAGTCTCCCCACCATTTTGGAATGCCCATGGGTATGTGGAGAGTGGAGGATGGATGTCTTCCTGAAAAGGACCGAGTTTTGGTAAAGCAAACCCAATCAAACTTTTAAGAGTACTGAGAGATGCCCTAATTGGTTTGCTCAGTGGATAGAGCATCAGTCTGTGGACTGAAGGGTCCCAGGTTTGATTCCGGTCAAGGGCATGTACCTCGGTTGCGGGCACATCCCCAGTAGGGAGTGTGCAGGAGGCAGCTGGTCGATGTTTCTAACTCTCTCTCCCTCTCCCTTCCTCTCTGTAAAAAACCAATAAAGATATTTAAAATAAAAAAAGAATACTGAGAGGGTATTCTACTTAGAGCAGTCAGTATCTTCCAGCTTTTAAAGGTCCAGAACCCTTTCCTTAGAAGAAATACACACAAAACAAGTTTTGTACTGTTTCAGGAGACCTCCTGCCCCAAGGGAAGAACCCATTTTCTTGAAGGAACCTTAAGTTAAAAGGCACTAACAGGTAATCCTTTCAAAAACAGAGTTATGGAAGCCTAATCACTCAGCATTATAAATCTGCATTTTCCTTTGGCATGAACACTGGTGGCTTATGGTTTGAAATACACAGCCTCCCGGGTGATCACCGACGAGAGCCGGCGACTGAGTGGACCTTCCCCGGCAGCCGCACCCCTTACCAGTGTGCGTCTTCATGTGCTCGTCGAAGTACTGCTTCATGTTGAAGTCCTTGCCGCACCACTGGCACATGAACTGCTTGTGGCCGATGTGGATGCTCATGTGCGAGCGCAGCTGGTACTTGTACTGGAACCGCTCGTCACAGTTCTGCACGGGAACGGAGACGTCTGAGCCGCACAGCAGCTCTCCCCGCCTGAGCCCCCCTGCCCGCTCCGGAGGCTTCCTCTTCCTCCTCACACAGACCCTGCTTTTGTCAGCTTGTTCGCTCTGCTCTAATTCTGCAGCTGAGTTATTAATAAAAGGGAAATTTCTCATATAATGGAAAAATAACTCATGTGTCAGTCCAAAACTTAATGTGTTTAAAAAGACATTCCTCATCCTGGCTGGCGTCAGAGCAAAGTGGTCAGAGCAGCCACAGTGCACCAGAGGGTCTTGTGTTTGATTCCGGGTCAAGGGCACGAACTTCAGTTGCGGGTTCGGTCCTTGGCCTTGATTGGGGCGTGTGTGGGAGGCAACCAATCCATGTCTCTCTCACATTGATGTATCTCTCTCTCTCTCTCTCTCTTGCTCCCCCTCTATCCTACCATCCTACTCTCTCTAAAAAGCAATGGAAGGATTGGGTAAGGATTAACAAAAACAAAAAAAAGACATTTCTCTGCCTAGCAGTGAGGTAACCCGATGCTCAGAGCACGTCTGGAGGCTCTGTGGCTTCGCAGCCCGATGCCCACACTTCGGAACCCCCTTGCTGCCGCCCACACCGACGAAAGCTTCTCCAGCCCCTAGGCCTGCCTGCGCCTGGCTGTGGCCTTCCTTACCTCACATCTGAAGGGCTTCCTTACCTCACATCTGAAGGGCTTCTCTCCAGAATGCTGCAAGGAGTGCACCTTGAGTGACATGCTGCGTTTGAACGATTTCCCACAGGTTTCACATGTAAAAGGCATGTCTTTCGTGTGCGCTGCAACACAGAATGCACTTACACTCAAAAGACGTTCACCCAAAAGCTCAAAGTGAAATAGGCAGGTGTCCCACTGTGAGGCCACCACCCACCTCAATTCCCCTCACGCTAACATGTGGGGCTCTAACAGCGATGCCCGGAGAGGAAACAGACAGCGACGCCTGAGAAACCTGGTGCGGAAGATGGACCGTCCCATTTGGTGATGCTCGCTGACATGTTGCATTTAGTTTCAACAAGTCAAAGTGACTAAAGAAAGGCACTGCCTTGGATCCTGCCCCGTACAGAGCACACAACTCGCCAAAGAACAAGGGGAATTACAGGTGAGAGAGAAAAGAGGCTGACAGACTTACCAACCATGTGTTTCCTCACATGGGCCATGGTGTAGAATTTCTTCTCGCAGATTTCACAGGAGAATTTCTTTTCTGCATATCCATGGACGATCTTGATATGTTCGTGAAGGGACCAGAGTTTCTTGAATGATTTGTTACAGGAAACACACTGAGCAGGAAAACAGAAATAACCTTACTTACAGGGAGGGGCGTGCAGAAAGCCAGACCTGCCTGCTGGCAGATGACGGGGTGTGCTGGTCCTGGCACAAGCCAGAATCCAAACACAGGCTGTTCTCCAGGCAGTCCCCATCCGACACCAAATCTGTGTGTTCTATTTTCCAAGAAGCATCATTCAGAGACACTTGGGGAGTATGAAGACAATGGCGAAAAATAAGACAAGAAGAAATGGAAAGTCCCACTAATATAGAATTGACTGATTTTATCAAGTTTGTGTTGTACCTACAAAAAGAACCTGCAAGCTTCTAGAAAATATATCACCAAAAGTGGCTGCCTCCTACACGTGGGTCACTAATAGGTGTTTACCAGAAAATACAAACTAATTTAAAATGAATGTAAATAAAAGAAGAAAAAACAAAATACATGTTAATGATTATAGAGCTGCAGAAGTATAACAATGTTTTTGTACCTTAGAGAATGTATTTGGAATTTTCGTTAACACAAATGACTGAGATTTTGTTATATTTTTCCAAATCTAATTTGTTCTATTAAACATTTCCTCTGGCAGAATAAGCTCTAACTGGTTAGTGTCATTCTCCCTTTCCCCTATAGCCAGATGTCTCATACAAGCACCTCGGCAGCGGTTTTCAGTGGGTGTGCCACAAGAGTTTTTAAAGCATGCAACACCTGACTATTTGTCAAATAAAAAATTACAACAGCCAACACAATAGCCATCTGGTGTGAATGAATAACAATTATGCCTATATTTTTGTTAGATTGGCAAAAAGTTTATTTGTTGGTGTGCTGCAGAACTTTAGTAATTAGTTTATGTGTGCCATGAGATGAAAAAGGTTGAAAATCGCTGACCTGCTGAGACCGGTTTGGCTCAGTGGCTAGAGCATTGGCCTGTGGACTGAAAGGTCCCGGGTTCGATTCCGGTCAAGAGCATGTACCTTAGTTGTGGGCACATCCCCAGTGGCGGGTGGTGCAAGAGGCAGTTGATCGATGATTCTCTCTCATCGATGTTTCTAACTCTCTATCCCTCTCTCTTCCTCTCTGTAAAAAAAATCAATAAAATATATATAAAAAAAAAGAAAATCGCTGACCTATAGGAAACACATGCTACACTGCTTAGCTCCTTGTGTCATAGACGATCAGGCATAAAGTGTATGAAAATAAAGTGCTCTGGTTAAATCAAAACAATACTAGAAAGTTTAGGTGACCATCAGACTCTGAGATGCTTAAGGAAACAACATGGAATTTTCTGTAAATAAAGATCTCTTAACATCACTGTCACTTCAGAAAACAAAGACTCTGAGAAGGGTTAAAAAGATAAGCCGTTGCCCTAACCAGTTTGGCTCAGTGGATGGAGCCTGCAGACTGATGGGTCTCAGGTTCGATTCCCTTCAAGGGCATGTACCTTGGTTGCGGGCACATCCCCAATGGGGGGTGTGCAGGAGGCAGCTGGTCGATGTTTTCCTCTCATCGATGTTTCAAACTCTCTATCCCCCCCTTCCTCTCTGTAAAGAATCAATAAAATATATTTTAAAAAAGAAAAAGATAAGCCACTGACAAAAATGGCTTGAGAAAAGGACAGACAACTCCTGTAAACATTTTGTAGGACAGGTTTTAATTTTTACTTGTTACTAGGTTGTCATGGTTACTAGGATCCACACTTTAGAACAAAGCAGGGTTCCTGAGGAATGTAAAGCGTTCACTTAGCAGCACCCAAAAACCTACACGCATGCTTAATCATGGTGAGAATTAGTGAGGAGAGTCACAACAAAGATTAACCAAATATTTTCTTTTCTGTAACTTAATAAATAAATTTAAGTTTAAAAAACTATGTAAGGTCTTCAAGTTCAAGATACACCTTTTCAGCAACGAACCACACAGACCTAGTTAGACCCCTAGGGTGCAGCACCACTTCGCTCCGTGGCCTGAACCTGCAGCAATTCATCCCCCCGCCACGACTCAGCTCTCTTTCCTTTACCCAGCATTTGGGAGATTAAATCACAACTGATGAGTCAAAAAGCAGTTAAATTATATTTTAGCAAATATAAGTTATATACATATGTATTTCTAATTTAAAAAAAACTGATTTTAGAGAGAGGAAGAGTGAGGGATAGGAAACATCAATGATGAGAGAGAATCGCTGATTGGCAGCCTCCGCTGGGGATAATGCCAGCAACCCTGGCAAGTGCCCTGACCAGGAATCAAACTCTCACCTCCTGGTTCATGGGTCAGCACTCAACCACTGAGCCACACTGGCTGGGCTACACTTTATATATTTAAAACTCTCTTTAAAGTAAAGCAATGATCTCAGTTGTTAATTAAAAGCAAGAGGAAATGTGAAAAATAAGGAGCAATCCAGGAATCAAACCACACCAAAACAATTGCATCTTTTAAAAGAAATTTAGCTTAAATGTGGTACAAAATAGGTCTATTTCACATATTTTATGTAGGCATTAATATTAATGGCTTACCTTCATAAGTATTCAATGATATGTATTCGCATGAGTTAACCAATATAGCTCAGCACAGCAATATAATTCACTCGACAAAACGTACTTGGCACACTCTTACCCTATCGCCACACAGTCCTCCCAGGACACCAGCCTCCTGCGAGCACCATGCTTTGTTCCCTCAACCACACGGCACAGCAGCGTTACACAGCCTACTGCCAGGCGGGCAGCGTTTGCAACCTGCTCAGCCTGTTTAAAGTTTGCATATTCCCATGGGCTCAGCCTCTTGACAAATTTAGTGTTGTCATCTCTCCACTGTGAAAGCAAACTCACTCCCGGAGATCTTCCATTTCCGCGGGTCTGAGTCATTACGGTTTTGTCCCCAGCGGCTGTGCTAGCATCTGGCATCCTTTCATGCCCAGAAGGGGACCGCTCTCTATTCCCGCACTTTGCCCATATCTCCCACCTCGACAGAGAAGATGCCAGAATGAACCAGCACGAGTCCCACAGCTCTGAATCTCAGTGCAGTCGGCGCTGACCTCACCTACGGGGCAGCCACCTACTGCAGATCCCCCTTCCAGCGTACCTGGGCCCCACTAGTCCAGCGCCAGTTAAATGTAACGCTTTTGAAACAAAATGTTAAGCCTGGGTTTGGGAAAGACCAGAGCAGGAGCTTCTAGAGAGCTAACTGGGGGATCTGTCCCTTCGGCCTCTATTGGACTTATTCTCTTGGGCAGAACGGCCAGGCTCTATGCTGCAAAGCGCCCTCTGATGAGACCTACCTGGATGTTTTTCTCACAGTCTGTTTGCTGGTGGAGGGACAGCTCACTTTCCAGGACAAACTTCTTGCCACACTTATCACAGATCTGCATGCGCCTGTGAGTCACGTTCATGTGCTTCTCCAGGTACCAGCGCGTGTTAAACACCCTGGGGCACTTCTCACAGGTCAGAGTCTCCTTCTCCTCGCACTTGGCCTTCTGGACGGGGGCTCTGGGCTCCTTGGCGGCCCGCTTCTTCCGCTTGGGGGGCTCTGCGCTCTTCCTGCGGCCGCGCGTGGCTCTGGGCGCGGGGGAGGCGGCGGCGGCGGCCACGGAGGCGGCTCTCCGCGTCCTCCTCTGTGCGACGCAGGCCTTCTCCGCCGCCTTCTCCTTCTTCTTGTGCCTCGTGTTCTCCCCATAGTCACTGCTGTTGTCGGTGGGCTCCTCCTCGCTCTCGTCGTCCTCGCTGCTTGTCTTAAGAACAGGAGTCTCTTTGGACTGAGAAGAGACACCCTTTTCCCCTTTAGACACATTTAATGTTTGATTATTAAGGTTTACCTCCACTATGATCTGCTCCCTTTTGTAAGAGACCTCCTCCTCCTCCTCCATGTCGTCAGAATTCTCGCGGTCTTCCTTAACGGCGTGCGCGTCCGACCCGGCTCTTGTCTCCCTGAAATACGGCTGCTCCTCCGCCTGGTGGAGATGCGGCTTGCTCGCCTTGGTGTCCACTAGCACGGAGTAAGGGCTGCCCGACTCCCTCTTGTACACTTTGGTGGACAGGTCGAGTTCCTGGTTGGCACCATGATAGAAGGTCGATGGCTCTGGGGCACGCCGGCCGTCTTCCTGTGCCATCCCTGCCACATGCGCGGCACAGTTCTCAACCAGCTCCGCACAGGAGCCGGCTGTGTGGCTCATCGGTAAGTGGCCCAAGTTATGAAGCAGTTCAGACTATAAAGAAACAGCTTTAAAACAGCGTAATTATCAAGACTCAAATCTCTTTCCATCCACAGAGAGGCATTCAAATGAAAAAAGAAAAGAAAAAAAGGTATTCCTGGAACCTGCGAGCAGTCCTCCCAGTGATGCAGCACCGCAGCGAAGTCAGAGGTTTGGTATGACGGCAAGAGCAGGGCCAGTGATTTTTCTTTTGAAGATCAGCTGCAAGCGACTTGGAGCATCTTATCTACAAAGAAGCAAGAAGAAAAGAGTCAGATACCACCATTTCCTTTGCATAACATGCACTGACTGGCACACCACAGCAAACATGGCCTGAAATGACCAGACTCTCTCTATATGCAATTCTTTCTTCTGCTTTTAAATGGTTCATGCGGGCCGCTACTTTACTGGGTTATACGAATCCAACAAACATTTTGTTAGAAGTAGATTCTAAGTGAATCCTAAGGTACCAGGAGTCACTGTCCCGTCACTGACATATCCTTAGAGCTGAGCACAATGCCTCGCACTCAGTAGGTGTTCAGTATACATTGATGTCTAAGTGAATAGCTACTCCGCACAGCACTCATATCCGAGATGCTGTGAGGCATACCGATACGGCACAATCCATCTTCCACAGTGTAGCCTGGCCATATAACTGTGTCCTATGTGGGACACACAGAGCATCCGCTGCTGGCTTTCTTTTCAATACCAGACACCGCTGTCCACCACCACAAGGGCTCACGGACAAAGGGGGAGTGGGCGAGGCACTGCAGACCAAGAAATAAACCCGCTACATGACATAACTCCAGAAAGAAGGAACATGTCCCCGCTTCACACAATGTAAATCTAGATCCAGACTGTTACTCTAGGTCACATGTGTCAAACACAAGGCCCACGGGCCAAATCCGTCCCGCCAGGCCTTGCAATGTGGCCCGCACCGCACTGTCATCACTGCACTCCGCTGCGTTTCCATCACAATGACAGTTTATGACTGTTCAGTAAACCATTCGGCCCGCGATTTAGGCTGGATTTTAGATTTTGGCCCCTTCTCTGATTGAGTTCGACACCCCTACTCTAGGTACTATTGTTTTCAGGGTTATCCGAATAATTTCAAAGTGGCCAAGTATTTCTAAATGTGGTCTACGCATAGCTCACTACATCCACCCAGTAACGGGGCGATTCTTCACGTGTCAGTTGCAGAAATCTAAATTCTAAGAAACGCTAACCATCAAGTTGATACGGTTCCAAGAAAAATAAAACCATCACTTAAAAAAATAAAAAGACCGGAGAGGCACGTAATTGCTTTGTGACATACCTCACATTGCTGTTAGCCTCCCACCCACCCTCGGAGTCGCATGGAGTTATGCAAACACAGACCCTGTCTGGTGACAAAGGAAGAAAATGAGCCTTCACTGAATGCACAGGAGGTGAGGGTGCCACCGTCTCTTATTTCTACTTACTGACCACTGCATGACTTGGGGGCCATTTTTATTCTTCTTCTCTCCCATTTTCTTTCTCTGTATGGATTTGTTCTTTAAAAACTATTTTTACTTTCATTTTAGTGGAATCTCAGAAAGGAGTGGTGGTAAATACTACTATATTTTAGTTGTCATCTTCATAGATATATTTACTTTTTTGTATTTATTGAGAAAATTATGCCTTTGAGAGGCTAATTTGTCTAAGATCGCATATCTATTCAATGACAAAAGCAGTGTTTGATCCTAGGCCTGCTTGACTCCAAAGTTCATGGTCTATCTCTACTATGACAAGTGACACTCCAAAAAATAACCTAAAATTAATTATTCCTATAATCACATATCTTTTTGCAACAGTTTCACACTTTATATTTTAAGTAGGAAAATCCCAGGAGCTTTATTTTACATGTACCAAAACTTCTAACTCATAGAAATAATGTAAACTACTACAAGTATTGTTATATAAACTTACATTAATGATCTCAAATTAAGCAAGGGAGGAGAAACAATAAAATTCATCTAGCCAGCAAAAGCTAAGAGTTAAATAAAAGTCAGGAAGACAAAAAATGAAGGGAGGGAGGGAGGGAGGAAGGAAGGAAGGAGGGAAAAAGAGAAGGAAGGAGGAAGGGAGGGAGAGAGGGAGGGAGAGAGGAGAGGAGGGAAGGAAGGAAGGGAAAGCCTCTGTGGTAGGCCATTAATACTTCCTTCCCAAATATGTCTGGGCACCTGGCAGGACTGCCCTTTCCAGCCCTGCCTCCCTGTGGCACCTCAGGAGGAGAAGTGACACAGAAGGCCAGGGCATTTTCTAACCAAGATGAGCCTTCAGACCTCTTCCCTCTGCCACAGGACCAGCCATCTGCAAGGTGATGACTGCCATCTTTGCTATCAACCGGGGTCCCTGAGGGACTAGGACTTACAGGATATATGCACAGGGCAGTGGGTTTTTTTTTAATTTACTTTTACACGGAGTGTGTTTTAAAGCCATTGGGATTTTGTATTGTTTATGCCCTCGGCATTATCTGCTCTACCCCAGCTTATACAAGTGGAATCTGGAAGTGGGGTGCTGCTTCATCACAATACCCAAAATATATAAAAAAAGGTTTAGGAAGCTGGCAGCAGGAGGCAAGGAAAATGCTACTGGAGGCTAAAAGGATAGCAATTCATATGATGCAGTGCTGAAACTACTGGTGAAACTCACCTCATTACCTCATGAGACAGCTAACGCCACAGAGCTGAGAGCTCTAGTGGGGAGATGGACGATGGCACTATTAAGAGAGTGCTGGTTACTGTTGGCTGTATTTGAGATACTACTTCATGCAAAGGGTAAGTTTACATGTCCATATCTATAATAAAAGCATAATATGCTAATTAGACCAGACAACATATTAAATATTGTGTATTTTTAAATAGTGAACATTCCAGATGTCCTTCTGGGTGATGCCACAGCAGTGGGAAGGCAGAGGCAATTAGGGGAGATCAGGCAGGCAGGTGAGTGGTTAGGGGAGATCAGGCAGGCAGGTGAGTGGTTTGGGGTGATCAGGCAGGCAGGTGAGTGGTTTGGGGTGATCAGGCAGGCAGGAAGAGTGGCTGGGGCGATTAGGCAGGCAGGCAGAGTGGTTGGGGCGATCAGGCAGGCAGGCAGAGGCAGTTAGGGGTGATGAGGCAGGAAAGTGAGCAGTTAGGGGTGATGAGGCAGGCAGGTGAGTAGTTAGGGGTGATCAGGCAGGCAGAGGAGTCAGAGGTAATGAGGTAGGCAGGCAGGCAGGCAGGCAGGAGAGTGATTAGGAGCCAGCAGTCCTGGATTGCGAGAGGGATGTCCAACTACAGGTTTAGGCCATATCCCATAGGGATTCCTATGGGATCAGGCCTAAACCAGCAGTCGGATATCCCCCAAAGGGTCTCAGATTGGGTGTGGCTGGGCTGAGGGGATCCCTACCCCCATGCACAAATTTTGTGCATCAGGCCTCTAGAAGACAATAAAAACCAATGTGCATACTCATCACACAGTTGTGAAGCTACCGATAAGCCCCTAGGGCCAAACAAGAAATCAAGTACTAAGGAGGCCACACTTTAGGACCTGATGATCACATGTGTACTTAAAACATCTTTCCATTGTTCAATCCCATTCACAAACACTATCGACAGGAGAATATAATCTCACCAAAGGGGTTTTTTATTTTTACTTTTTAAAAATGTTTTTATTGATATGAGAGAGAGAGGAAGGCAGAGGGAGAAACATTAGTTGTCTGCTTCCTACACTCCCCTTACTGGGGATTGAACCCACAACCAGGGCATGTGCCTGATAAGAATCAAATCACAGACCTCTGGTGCATGCGCTCAACCAACGAAGCCACACGTGCCAAGGCAACAAAGGATTATTTTTAAAAGAAGGGTAAGAGCTTCATATTACTGTTAGCTTTTCCATTAAAATCCGACCAAGTCCTGGCTACATGAATGCGCAAATAAATCCCAGTGCCCTAAAAGCAACCAGGAGAACATACCCACAATACACACCATCTTGGAAGGTCTCAGGTTAGCCTGACCAAATGTTTTATGGAACCCAATTATTTTAATGCACTAGTCCATTTTCAAAATGCTATCAAGGTGAGTACCTTGATAATTATTAATTGAAATCCTACCTCTTAGCTTTATTAAGAGACTTAAAAGGCCTTGTGAATCTTCCTTTTTCTTAAACCCCTATAAGTAACACCTTAGGACAGAATGGAGATATAATATATTTAGCAGGAGGTTCACACTGTGGCTACCTATAATGTAAGCCATTATGAGAGGCCTATGTACGTGTCAATTTGACTAGATCGTTGTGAACTTGAATTAAAAACTCATTAAGAAAATGAAAATAAGTGGAATGATCTTATTACATTCCTGTATTTTATAAAAATTAAAATCATAAATATTTTAGATGCATGAACATCATCAGAAAATTATGGAATTTAATGTATATACTTGACCTACCAAAAGAAATGTTATTATTTTTTCATTAACAAAAATTTTTTGACACTTCAAAACATAACACTTGGAAAAGAAGCTTAAATGAACTAATCTTAAACCGAGGGGTATATATAAATAGTCTAAAATGGGAAGGTTTAACCCAAACCATGACATACCCAAAGCACGGCCAATGGAAAAAGACAGACTGCTAATATATCACCTGCCTTTTCCTTCCCATAAGTCTATGTGTTCCTCTCCTTAGCAGCACTCTTAAACTTTGGAGAATCTTTAGAAAAATACAAATCTTCTCTTCCATAAAAATGAACACACAAAATTTTGATGTAATATCAATGAGTCTGCCCATTTCCAGAACCCCATCCGTGGGTCTCCTAGGGATCCAAACCCCTACTCTAAGAACTCCTGTTAAAGAGCAGATTTAACTTTTCCATATTTAAATGTACATTTAGATTGTTTATGAAGTTTTCTCCCTACCCCTTTCCTTCTAATCGCGCCAGCATAACTATAGCCATTAATGAATTAAGTGAAAAAACTTTAAGTGTAGAAATAAGAGATCTTAGTGTGAACCCCAATATGCCACTTCACCAGATACTTCACCTTGGACAAGCCAATTAATCTTACTCAATCTCAACGTGTTCCTTGTAAAGCTAGAACAACAATACCACGCCTATTTAATGTGATGACATAGGCAAAGTTCCCAGTACATGTGGATTTCAGTACTGGCTCCTTTCTCATTTCCATTTGAGAAGATCTTTCTTTTTTAAAATATATTTTTTTGATTTCAGAGAGAGGGAGAGAGAGAAAC